AACGTAAAAAGCTTAGCTTTAATTATATAATTATAATAAAAAGTTATAGCTTCTTTCGTAAGCATAATTAAAAACGCTGTTAAGTAGTCGTCGAAGGTTAAACCGTATCGACTTGCTTAATTAGCAAAAATCTTTAATTAAGTTTTAAAGTCGTCGTCGGGTCTTAAATACTTTAGCTTTTTAAAAAAGCTTCGCGCGAATAAAGTTAATTCCTTTGCTTTTAAATAAAGGTTTATTGCTTTTAACTTAAGGAAATCGTCTTTATTATCGTTAAAAGCGCTTAAAGTGCTGTACGCAAGCGTGCCGTGCTTAGCTAATAATCGGATCGATAAAAGATTACTAATATAATTGCTAATTGTAAGTTTTACTTTTTTAAAGTCTTTAAGAGGCTTATTTCCGGATCCGAGGTCTTTTAAAAGTCCGTTGCCGAATCCTTTTAATAGCTCGGAAAAGCCGTTTCTACCTTTTCCGTACCCGTAGCCTCGATCTCTTTGCTAATCTCTTTCGTTCTTTTTTCGTCGGCTATCGTTAAGATCTTTAAAGCTATTCGAGTCACCGGCTAAGGCTTTAGCTTAATAATATCCGTATCTTTAAGCTTGCTTTTAGCGATTCTTATACTTTTAGTTTTTCTTTTATTAATACGTAGCTTTTTAAAAGATATAAATAGCTTGCCGGTACGTCCGAAAGTGCTAGATCCTTTTTTCGAATTACTAAGGTTAAGCACGGAAATCTGCACGCTATCTTTAATAAGAATTGATTTTGTTCGGAATGCTCTTAGGTTTTAGCGAATCTTTTTTTAGCGTATAGCTTTCGTAGCTTCGAGTATTGTTTAATTCGATAATAATCTTAAGACCTTTATTATTATTGCTATTAAGCTTAAGCTTTTTAGAAAACTAAGTATAGCTTTTAAAAAAAGGGTTTAAAAGCCGTTAAAATGATTTTGGCTCTTCTTAGATAATTAGCGTATTGCGTAACGATTAATAGATTAAAAGCGTTAAATACGTTAAAGTGCTTCGTCGTAGCCTTTCGTTAAATTGTATAGCGTAAGTCCGTAATTCTGTTATTTGCTTTGCTATCACTTTTATATTTTGCTTTATATTTTTTTTTTTTTCGCGAACTCTTCGCGTAACTTTCGAATCTCTTTTCTTTTTTCTTTTTCTTTTCTTTTTAAACTTCGTAAAGGTAGTAAAAGTAATTAAAGCGTATTATTTTCGTCGTTCGTAAAGTTTTCGGCGATCTATTTCGAATCGAAGCTTAAGAGTATTGCTTATTGCTTTTTTATTTTTTAAAAGGTCTATTAGTATTGCTGCTCGTCGTTTAAGAGCTTGACCATTTTATTAGCGTAGCTTCTTTGCTTTAAAGGGCATTATACGCTTTTAAATAGCAAGTATTCTTTAAAGCTAATAAAAGTAGTAAACTTAAAGCTTCGTCTTATATTATCTTCCGTTATCGTAAAACTCGTTTAATCTTAACGTAAGAAAGCGTACCGGAATAAGCTTTATAAGTCGTAATCTTTTAATCCTTTATACTTCGCATCTAAGAAGTCTTTTATTATTGCTCGGGCCGTAATCTTATTATCGAGCCTTGCGTATAATAACTCGTTTAAGTCAAATAAGATGCTCGATATCTTATCGTTTAGTCTTTTCGAAAAGCTTAAAAGTCTTAAGTATAATAGTCTTTTTAGCTAAATAGCTAAAGGTTCCGTAAGTAATAATAAGACTCGAAAGGTATAATACCTTATTGCTTTTTATCGGCTAGATTCTTTACTTAAAAGTCTAGTTGCTTAATCGGCTATAATAATTGTCTGCTCGTACGTAAATCGATTATATTAATTAAGTTTGCTATATATAGCAAGCGCGGCTTTATAGCTTTAAAGGTTATATAAAAGTGATTTGGTTCGGAATCACTTTTCCGTAAAAATAAGGAAAATCAATAGTATAAAAAGCGATTTAATACGGAATCGCTCTTCCGTTATAAAAAAAAGAAGGTATCGTAATAAAAAGTATTTTCGCTATAAAGTCTTAGCTTTTTTATAATTGATTACTTAATAGTAATTCAATTATTAATCAGTATTAGATTGCTTTTAAGCGATTAAAAATATATATTCGTAAGGTCGTAACGGTCGTCAAAGTACTTGCAATTGCAAAACACTCGATTAATAAAGTATTTGAATTCTGTCTGCTCTTTAAGACTTAAAAGAGCTGATTTCTTTTATATTATTAAAAGGAATTACGTGCACTAGCTAGCTAATAGGTTTACTTGTCAAGTTGGGGGTCCCTTAACTGCTAATATGCTAAGCGAGGCATGCCAAGTGGCCCGTAAACCATGGTTCACGGATAAGCTTCTTTAACTACTACTATTACTACTATTATTAGCTAAAGTCGATATAGATATATCGATACTTAAGAAATCTTTTAAAACCGTAGCTTATAATTAAATCTATAATATATAATACGAGGTCTTCGTTAATATATATAATATCAATAATAATCGAATAATTGAATTTATACTTATCTTTTAAAAAGATTTTAAATCTACGAAAAGCTTGCTTATATAATTAATATTGCGTATAATATTTAATAATCTTTTCGAAGATATCGGTTTTAAACTCTTTACTTGCAACTTTAAAAGTAATAGTAAAACGCTATACTAAAGGGTGTCCTTAGCGGCGATGAATTTAACGCAATTCTCTTTCGGTAAAGTAGCATATAATAGTTTCTTATTAATTAAGCAATAAGAATAAATAGCTTTATTTTCTAATAACTAGTACGCTATTATAGCCTTGCATAAGCAAGTTTCTTAAATTATTAAAATACACGCTAAAAGAATTTATATCTTTTAAATAGATTAAAAAAAAAGTATTAATATTAATTATATAAAAAACAATCTTGCTAATTAATATTTATACTTTTACGGTTCTTTTAATAATAGCCGAGGTCTCGCCGAAGCTAATAATACTTCCGTAAATAATAATCATTTGTAATTTAAGCAAGTAATGCTAAAAAGCTCTTACTTATGCTTCTTTTATAAAAGACTTACTTGCAGCTCTCGAATCGAAAAGGAAGCTTTAAAATCGATAAGCTAAATACCGAAAGTATAAAATATAAGTCTTTAATAAAACGGTTTTATCTTTTTTAATTAAAAGGTTCATAGCGTTTAAAATAATAAAAGCGTAATAAGCTAAGCGTTTTTATAAAATTGCAATAATCTCGGCGCCTATCACTTTTTTAACTTTAATAAAAAAGGTTTAAATAAAGTAATTGCGGTCACCGTAATCGTATTCGTTATATTAATAGTTTTTAATAGCGTATATTATTTAATCTTAATAATTTTCTTCGTTTAAAATACCCTTTACTCCTTCGTAATTTGTTAAAAAGCTTGCGAAATAAGCTAAGGTTATTAGTTAAGTAATATAATATATAGCGCTTTTCTTATACTCGTTATAAAAGCGTTTTCGCTTTTCGAAAGAGTGTTTTATAAATTAGCAATCGGGCTTGCCGCAAATAAAGCATACTTTAAGTTTTTTACTTTCGCGAAAGCTTTTATTTTTTTTTTTACGTGCAAAACCTTTATTCTTACTTTTGCTTTTACTATCGCGATTATAGCCTCTTAAGCTACGGTTATAGCTTTTACTTGATCTTTTATAGTTTCGATCGGTATAATAAGTCTCGTAATTGCAATTAGTATCGCAATTATAATCGTTAAAAGCATAATACATAATAAAAGGAGCTATATATTCGAGTACTTAGCGCTCTTTTTAAATAGTACCGATTGCTAATCGTAATTTGTTGCACAGTGTGGTCCTTGCCTCACGTGCTCCTCACGTGGCCTAGCACGTGCTCCCTTGCACGTGCCTGCCAAGCTCCTTAGAGGCCACGTACCACATGTACATATCTACAATTGCTCCCGTGCTCCCCTGAATATACCAGACACTTCTATCGCCATCTCTTAGACCTTGATCTGCTCCACCTACCTAAGTATACGCCCTCTGTCACCATAGTTAAGAGCCACACGCCTCTACGAGCTCCTTTTAATTATCATCAATACGGTACAGACTGCCTCGATAGTTGCAGGATTATCGTCTTCTTTCTTTTCGGTCGGTAGAAGTTGTTCTCCCTTCTAACGCTCGGAGCGTCCAGTAAGAGCTTTTCAAACCTCATTTTTTACTTTATTTTACACTCTACTTCGAGCTATTCTACGACATGTCACTTCAAAGCGCCCAACACCTTACGGACCGAGCGTCATGGGTCGATTAGTTTATCGATTACAAGGCCGTTGCGATGATAAAAGGCGTTTAGAAGCTTGCAGACCCTTATTCGAAGGAAACCCAGCCTCACATCCCTTCCTTAAAACCGCCGGCACCACCTACGATTGACGACCTGATCGTCAGAGAGAACGAGCGGAAGGATAATCTTATAAAGGAATAAGAGGAGGCGCCTCTAGCTACTCGTAGAGACCGCCCAATGCTAAAGGGTGCGAGTTTCCAGGACGTCAAAGAGGAGTTTGCATATCGGTCGAAAGAATACTCTAGGAAAGAGGCGCGCTAGAGCGCCTTGAACTCCAAATACCAGTACATGCTGGAGTGGGTGAATCAGACGGTCCCAAAGGAGCTGCTGCAACCCCATAAGACTCGTCTAATTAAAGAAGAGGAGTTTTCACTCCAAACGCTAATGAGGTCTCTACGGGACCAGTACGCGAAGGACGACGAATCGACGAAAGAGCATGTGCGAGACGAGTACCGTCGAATACTCAACGAAAGAGCTGCGGAGACCATTGAACCTCAGCAATAGATTCGAAATTAAGAGCTCGTGCACTCCAAAGCTATCGCTTTGGAGCCCGAATTGCAAGATGTTGTCGGTTCTCTTGCTATAAAGGATTTCTTAAGAGTAATTGCTCAAAGGTTAGACCCTGCTTAAAGCAATCGACACTTAGGTCTTGTGGTCGACGCTATCAATATAAGGGAAGCTTCCAAGTTGAAGAGCTTGAGAGACTACGCAAAGATGTTTAAAAGGCATTTACAGCAAAGAGGAGCTCGTGAGGGTGTGTTCGCCACACTCAACGAGCTCCCAAAAGGAAAGGTTTGCCCTTGCATGCGTACTCACTCTTGGCAGCCTTCTTCTTGCGACCTATTGAGGCTTGCTTCTACTGGTCAAAACCCTAGGAATCTCACAGTGTCGGAGCCAAAGCTTCAAGCTATTAAAGAGCGATTCTCTATGCCTAGCTACGAAAAGCTGAAGGCGAGCTTGGAGCTCTTATAAAAGGAGAATGGAGCTTCTACTAGCGAGGGCAGGTCCAAATACCCTAGAAGTGTAGCTGCCTAGGAAAGGCCACCTAGGAGCAGGTCTATAAAGGATGTTGGAACCGCTCGCGCACGCCGGAAGAGTGAATTGGGCCGTAGCCTTAGCGCTGCTAGAGGCTTATTGAAGCTTGGAAACCGTGTAGAGCTTGCGAAGAGGAGGTGTAGTGTGAGGAATTAAGACGCCTGCCTCAACTACAAGTTATTTGTATATTTGAGTCGCTCCTAAGGGGTGGAGGTTTAAGTTGGCGAGTCTTTGCGACGGCAAGCGGACCCACCTTGCACCTTGCCTTAAGGACTATTAGCTGCTGCCACTTTAGAGGATGCTCGTTGCAGCTTACTAGCGCTAGCGTGCTCCTATTTCGTCTGCCCTTTGTCTAAGAGCTTATAAGCTCCGTTCATCTTTTGGCTAGATTTTCCTTAGGTTTTTTCGTTTGTTTTTTCCCTCTTTCTTTAAGCGAGCCTTTTGTCAGTTGAGCAGTCGCTTCGCAACTGGGGGGTGTGTTGCACAGTGTGGTCCTTGCCTCACGTGCTCCTCACGTGGCCTAGCACGTGCTCCCTTGCACGTGCCTGCCAAGCTCCTTAAAGGCCACGTACCACATGTACATATCTACAGTTGCTCCCGTGCTCCCCTGAATATACCAGACACTTCTATCGCCATCTCTTAGACCTTGATCTGCTCCACCTACCTAGGTATACGCCCTCTGTCACCATATAATTAAATAGCAACTCTTTCGTATATATTAACTAGATTAAATATTGCTAGTTTGCATTCTTCGACTTTATTGCAAGCGCTAATAAGTTAATCGCGCAATACGTTATCGGTCTAGTATTTAAGTATAAGGCCTTGCTAATAGCTTTTTAAAAGCTTTATCGTAATCTTTAAGCATTCTAATCGAATCTTCTCGATATTCTTTTTATTTATAATAATATTAGCGAATATAATAATTCTTTATAAGCTTATATAATGCTTTCGGTTTTTATCGATTTCGAAGTATTAAGCTATAAGGTGTATCATAGCTTCGAAAGTATAGTTTTTATTAGCTATTTAATTGATATAATAAGCGTTTGCTGCTCCGATAAGCATAATAAAAAAAGCTTTAAAGTATAAAGTAAAAAAGATATCGCATATTTCGTATAAGCTATAAAACTTCTTTAGCTTTACGAAAAGTATATTTTATATTCTTTTATTATATTTAAACTCTTTTTTATATCTATACATCTTATTAAGTCCGCTAATCAGCTGCGCTAGGCTTGATCTTTAGCCTCTTTTAGCTGATTGGTCAAGGTCTTTTTTATTACTACTTCCGCCTCTTCCTTCACCTTTTCCGCCGCTTTCTCTTCCACCTCTTCTACCTCTTCCTCCACCTCTTCTTCTACCTTTTTTATAATTGTCTTTACGATAAAAGTCATCCGTATAATTGCTTTTATTATTATCATTTCCGCTTTTACTTCTTCTACTTGCTTTAAAAATAAATAGTACGTAAGGTTATTTATAAACTAGTGGATTGAGTAAAGGTCGAAACAAGATCGAATAAATTAATAATAAGAGTTATAATCGAAGGTCAAAAGGTAATCGAAAGTCAAAGGTAAACTCTTATTATCTTTGCTATTAATAAGGTTGCTTATCGAATAGTATATCGAATTATATATTATTCGAAGGTAGAGGTCGATACAATTAAAAGTGTATCGATAAAAGAAAGGGTCGTATAAGTTGTATCGATATAAAAGGTATAAAAAGTAAAAGTAAAAGTAAAAGTTTAACGGCAAGTTTATATATTATTAAACTAAGTCGCTTTTCTCGTTTTGCTTTTTTATAAAATAAAAATACGAGAAATGTCGATCTATAAAGTAGTTCAGCAAAAGCTAAAGCATAGCTTACATTACTTTTTAAATCTTTTATTTATACGTAATAAACGAAAAAGTAATTATATAAGTATCTTAAAATTATAATATAATTTAGCTTAAATAATAGTTTAATTTATTTATTAGATTGCTTTTAAGCGATTAAGAATATATATTCGTAAGGTCGTAACGATCGTTAAAGTACTTGCAATTGCAAAACACTCGGTTAATAAAATATTTGAATTCTGTCTGCTCCTTAAAGCTTAAAGGAGCTAATTCCTTTTATACTATTAAAAGGAATCACGTGCACTAGCTAGCTAATAGGTTTACTTGTTAAGTTAAGGGTCCTTTAACTGCTAATATGCTAAGCGAAGCATGCCAAGTAGCCCGTAAACTATAGTTCACGGGTAAGCTTCCTCAACTATTACTACTACTACTATTATTAGCTAAGGTCGATATAGATATACCGATACCGGTAACTCTTTTTTTGGCAAACAGTGCTTTGCTAATTATTATATCGATCGAAAAAGGAAAGAAGGTAATTAAATAAAAAAAAAAAAAACAATCTCCTTTTTTCTTTTATAGCGGCTTTTCCACTTATCTATCGACTTGCACTTTTAAAGTATTAGTTAAAACTAGCTTTTGCAAAAAGATATTAGCCCCGATTTTAATTATAGCGTTAGCAAGGTTAGATTTGCTTTCGATTTAGCGTACTTTAAAAAGCTTTCGCCTTTCGTATAACTCTCGAATAGCTATAATATCGATTATTAAGCGCTTCTTTTTAATAGTCTTTAGTTTTATTATGCACTCGTAAAGCGAGTAAAAGTTAATGCATACGATTATAAAAAAGTTAAGGATTCTTAGTTAAGCCGTAATTTAAGCAAAAGTAATCGATATAGCAATAGCTATATCGATACTTAAAGATATCGCGTATAGCTTAAAAGCTAATACTGCTTTTATCACCCTCTTGCACTTTTATAACACTTAATATAAGATATTACTCGTTAAAATAAATTCGTTTTTATTTACGTAAGCTTTATTGCTAAGGATAGCTACGAAACCGATTTAAGAGCTAAGGTCAGCGTTATTAGCAAACGCTTCGTCTACGAATATAAAAAGCTTCGCAGTTTTTAAATCTAAGAGCACGTAATAGATCCTTTGAGTTAAGTAATCGATTAGCTATTAAATTACTTTATTAAGGGCTTTATAATCCTCGTCCTTCGATTCTTAATGCTAAGCGGTTATCGATAAAGCGCAAGATGCTTTTAAGTAGCAAATAATAGCTAAATACGCTTTTCGAGCACGTTGCTTTAAGTACTTTTTAACTCGTATAGTTAAATCGAGCTTGATCACTGCAAGCCTTTTACCTTGCCCCTTTTGCTTAATTAATAATCCGAACCTTTTTTTATCCAAAGATAACTTGCATTTATTGAAAATCATTAGCTCGGCGTATATAAAGGTCTTTATTTCTTTGCTTTTTAACTTAAATTTAACTAGCTCTTTTTTTTCTTTTGCCTTTATAGCTGGATTAACGATTATAAAAACATTATCCGTTTGTAAAGCAGCTATTCTTAGCTGATTTTTATTAATTAATATAAAAAAGCAAAAATTAAAGCTCGATTGCTTTATCTCGAAGTTGTCCGTGAAATGCTTTGAAAAACGCTTATATTAATGCGTTCTTGCTTCGAAGATCTTATATAAAGGGCTAGTTATAAAGAATAAAGTGCCGAAAGGAAATCGATAAGTGATCTCTTTAAGTGGTCGCACGACGATTATTCGGATAAGCTTCGTGCTTGATTAAGTATAAGCTTAAATGATATCCTTGCTATAAACTTAATATTCGTAGTCTTTTATTAAAAAAAGAGTTAAAGTATAATAAAATCTTTGGTCCGCTCGCTGCATCGTAAGTGATTCGGTGAGTACTTTCGTTTTGCTTTTATTTTAAAAAGCTTAGATTATTATACGAAACTTTTCGTATAGCGTAAGTATTCTTTTGCTTTTAATCTTATTAATAAACTTAAATCCGAAAATCTTAGCGCTTTTAACGCGTAGGTCGGTGCTCGAGATCACTTAAAAGATGCTTTAAGCTATCAATCTAGCTAATTCTTTTGCTTTAGACTCTTGAAATAATGCTTCGGGGCTCTTAATGATTCCTTCGGCTCGTAGCTTAGTTAAAAGCTTATAGTCTCGGCGTTCTTTATCGATAATTAATACTTCGGAGTCTTTAATAAATAAAACGTAAGAATCGCTTTCCTTTTCGTCGAGCACGATCGTGATATTAAAATCGTACTTTTAATAAAGTATTTAGATTATTAGTATTATTGACTTTTAAAGATTAGCAAATTAAAGGTTAAAAGGGCTGTTTGTTAGTCTTAGCGAGCTTTTTAGATTAAGCGACTTCGATAGATTAAGCGAATATTAAAGTTTAAGCGAATTTCGTATTTCTAGCTCTTTTTCGCTTTCGCTTTAATTATCTTTTACTTCTTTTTCTATTTCTTTTTTTATTTTTGCTTTAAGTATTTGCAACTCCTCTAGCAGCTTTTCAACTTTAAAGTAATAAGGTTTTATTAAGGTTAACTTGAATTCCGTAAGCCTCGGATAAGCTATTATGCACGTATACCTTTGCTTGCTAAGCAGCTGAAAAAGGCTTTTTTACCTTTAGTTTTCCCGTTATACGAGCACTCGTAAGTTAATAAAGAAGTCTAGAATATGCTTCGTAATTAGGCCATTCCTTCTTTTAAGCGCGTCTTTAATTTGCTTCGCAGCGTAGCATTTTCGTATTTCTTTTATAGCTTTGTTGATAGCAGCAGCACGCTCTTAAGTAAACGCGGCAAATCGATCTTGCTTCGTTAGCTTCGATAAGGTTTTAAAAACGAAGAGTATAAGAACCAAGCTATTAAATCCAGCTATATCGTTAATAGCTTTAATAGCTATTTGAAGCCGGTCCTTTTTTAAAGCTTTTGAAAGCTTTTTTATAACGATCTTAAAAGCGCGTCGCACAAAGACGTAGTAGCGTTTTATTAGCTCGACGCTATAATAAGCTTTTATAAGCATTTGCTTTAAAGTGCTGCTAATACTTTTAAAGTAGCTTCGAAACGTTATTAAATTAAAGTTGATTCCGGGATCGTGCATTACGTTTATAAAGGGTCCGACGTAAGTATTGACTTAATATCGATTGAATCTTTTAAGTAAGTGCTATGCGGATATGCTTTTAAAGAAAGTAGCGGCTTAAAAATTAATAGAATCGCAAACGACGTGTAATACGTTTTTGCCGTTAAGGTGCATTACGTTTACGTATACCGTATTATTAAAATCAGTATCGTCTTTAAGTCTAATACTAAACTTTTTCGGAAAGCGTTCGAATACTTAGCAATAATAGCAAAACTTTTAAATATTATAAAGCAAATCTCGCTTAAATTCGTACCCGGCCCTTTTAAAAACAGCAGCAAATCGATTTGCTAAAGGGTAGCCAAAACGCTTATAAATGGTCTTTAATTATTCTTTCGTAAAGTAGCAGTAGACGGTCTCGCTTTCGGTATTATAATAAGTAGTAGCGTATTTTTTACTTAATAGCATCTATACGTACTTAAATATCTTTATTATTAATATTTCCTTTTTCTTTTAAACTAATACGTTCCGCAAGTTATTTAAGATTACTTTGTGCTTGTTTATATTAGCTAATAAGAATAAAAAGGGTACGTCGCTTTTTATAACGTAGAACTCTACTTGACTTAAAAGAGTATCCAAGGTAATTGCTTTAATAAAAGTAGTAAAGCCGATATCGTATTTAACGGATTTCTTTTTTGCTCGAGATATATTTAATTAGACTTCGAAGTACTTCTTTTAAAGTGCTCGTAGCTAAAGCAAGCTAGCGATAAAGAAATTAGCTGCTCCGCTATTAATTATAAGGCTTATAAATACGTTTTTAAAGTACTTAAAGGTCATATAGGTCTTTGCTTTGCTCGCGGGTACGTTTTAAGTCTCGATTTAGCTAATAAAGGCGTGGAATGCCGTTTAAATTTCCAGCTGTTTATATACTTTGTCATCGTTAAAAGTGCCGTAGATAATTACAAAACCTTTCGATATATTAGCGTAATTGCTCGATTCGAGCGGCTCGTTTAATAAGCTTGCGATAAACTAATCGAATTCTTTCGTAAATACAAATGGCACGCTTTTAATCGATGCTACGTATTAAGAGAATTTGCTTTTCGTTACTCTTTTTACGTCTTTAAAAGCTTAAAACTTAGCGACGGATGCCTTTCTTTCGTCGAAGGTATGGTTAATGCTTTAGCAACTTGGCTTTTTGCAAACAAAACACTTTTTCTTACTTTTAATAGCTTTAGCAGCTTTCTTATTTTCGAAGTATTAGCGGTTTTAAATAAAGCATTTGTATTTTTCGTTTAAATCGGAGTCAGCTTTTAAAGTGTTATAAAAGCAAGTGTAATCGTGTAGCTCGCTAAAGCTCGCGTAAGCTTTAGCTTTAACGAAAGGTCGAAAGGTTTTAGTTGTAAAAGCAATTGCTCGACGAATATTAGCAATTGCTGCGGTAGAAGTAAAAGCAAGATTTATTCGTATAATCGTAGTCTTTAATACGTTTTTATAAGCTAAATACAGCTTATTAGCAAAACTTCGATTATCTTTTAAACTTGGTCGTAAGAAGCTTTAAATGCCTTTAAGCTTTTTAGCGAGCTTTTTAAAGCACTCGCTAAGCGAAATCTTTGCATTCTCTTTCTTGACTAAATTTAGCGAAATTTCTTTTTAACGATCGTATTTTGCTTGCCGCCGATAGTTAATCTCGAAATGGTCTTTTACCGCAATAGCGTTTGCTTTAAACGTAAGAAGCTTGGCCTTGATCATATGATTGTAATAAAAAGTTATAGCTTCTTTCGTAAGCATAATTAAGAACGCCGCTAAATAATCGTCGGAAGTCAAATCGTATCGACTTACTTAATTAGCAAAAATCCTTAATTAAGTTTTAAAATCGTCGTCGAGTCTTAAATACTTTAGCTTTTTAAGAAAGCTTCGCGCGAACAAAGCTAATTCCTTCGCTTTTAAGTGAAAGTTTATTGCTTTTAGCTTAAGGAAATCGTTTTTAT